TTTGTTAATTGAGTTGCTTTTTAGCGTCAGAGGAAAAACTCATAATACCTATGAATTCGCTTTTTGATGCTCTTCCGGAAGCACCGAACAGCCCAGATCCACTTGATTCACCTATCGCTTCATCCATACTAAAGGGCGCTAAGGAGTACAACAAAAAAAAGTAAACTGTTTGCTCATTTGATGAAAATAATCTACTTTTGAAATGCGTTCATTCTCAGCGATCTATGGAACAAGACCGTTGCAGCGAGAGCAGATCGAGAGCAGATGCTTTTGAAGGCTACGCAAGGTTTGTTCATGTAAAAATCATCGTTTAAAGGGACCATGGATTTACTTTTAGCAGTTTTCGACGATACTGTATTAACAAAGTCCGTTCCAAGATATCCAACGGATCTCTGGGCTGGTTATGGCTTCAGCTGTTCTCTTCCTGCTGACCTATTGAAAGGGATTCTGGATTTACCTGAGGAGACCAATGTCCCCGAGGGCAGACCGATTTTGGGAAGGGATGCTAAAACGGTCAGTCACAATGAGCGACATCAAAGCAATATTTAAGAAGCATTTTAGCCTCCAAGAGGATTGTGTGCAGTTCGTGAAGAGGACGAGCTGTCTGAATTTTCTGGTTCATTTAGCAGCAATTCAATGAATTCTGCCAATCGTGCCTTTGAAAGGAAGAATCGATCTGGTAATTTTTTATTGCGAAGTTGAAGACATTCCAAGGGAACGAAAGAATAACAGGACATCTTAAATCCACAAATTTGCTGGCTTATTTATTAGAGATGAAATAGAATTTACGTATAAGTGGTACTGAATTGAATAGAATGGGAATGGGAACAGCAGCAAACTCCTCATTCTTTGCCTTAACTCTGTCTACTCAAAATAGTATAGTTTATGTATCGAGAACTATCTAGGTAAACAAAACACTGCGCGATTTACAGCGTCCCACAGCAGTAGAACAGAGGTGCTTCTCTCAAATTTATGTTGATGTTCATCTAAACTATCCCCCAAGCAGCACTCACGATGTCTATTAGATGGTTTTATATTCGAATTGTATCAAGCGCGGATACATCCATACAAGACCCTTCACGTGAGACGCACTGTTAGCTCAACCCTATAGGGCGAACACATATTTCTTATGCATAAAGCGTGATGGCTCCCAACAGACTAATTAAGTCACGGCTGTAAAATGTTGCAAAGGATTTCAAAAGCATCTTGTTGCTTAAGCGATATGTTAAAATCGCAAGTTAGCGTAAACTCACGGCTGAATTTATCAGTTAAAATGCATAGACCATTATAAATTAGTAATAGTTAGATAGCACTTTTTAATTTTTCTTTGGCTGAAACAATCCGCACTTTGGAAACGCGTTACAAGAAAATGTAGGTATAGCCAAAAATAAATGCGTGCACGCACCTTTGCATGTCCTCTGAGTCGCCAAAGGGAGAGGGTAAAAATTTGTGGTTCAAGTACTAGCCAAAACACGTATGGGAATGTGGCCTTTTTCAAACATACTTTAATAGTTTTCAATTGATGCTTCAATATCTAGGCTTGACTGAATTGTGTGGTCTCTTAATGCTTACTTCTTTCAGCATTTTCCGCTTCTACTTCAATATTTGACTCCTCACCTATTGTTTCGGAATTTACTTGGGACATTCAAGTGTTCGTAGATCCGGCGATGGTCCTTGCACAGCTTGGATGCAGCGAGTACATGACGCAGTTGAGAGAACAAGAGGTACGTTACATTTAGCGCTGCTCGATGTGTGTTAGCAGCCTAGCTGCACTTCCTTAGTGATTGATATCACAGGAAATGTGTGTAGAGAATTTCTCCAAAAGTGCTACCTCGACTAAATGCATACCTTATACGCAAATTGGCTGACTATACTATTGAATTGAAACTTTTAGATTGTAAGAGCTGTTATTACAAGCTTGTTTTGCAGAAAGCGAATATTGTTTGTTGAACTATAGCAATAGGTGAACTTGTTTAACATCAACAGCTTAGAAAGAAAGATTCTCCAGAAAAGGTGTTAGAGCTTCATAGGTTGTTTTTAGATAGACATGCATGCTTTTCTTTTGCTGGACGAGCAGAACCTTAAAGATATTGGTGTATCAACGATAGGTGCGCGCAAGAAGATACATCATGCGATAATTAGTAAGTTGCCAACAGATTTCCATTTTATTATGAGTATTATTTTCCAAAAAAAGACAAAAGCTTCGAGAGGAAGTT